GTGACATCTGGAGTTCATTTTCTACTCAAAATGACCCATTCATACTCAAACACTATTCACTGATTGTTACCGTCGTTGTGTATGGTGTACCAAGTATTGAGGTCTCTGTGTTCACTTGAAAAAGTAATTTTACAGGGTGAGCTTATTATATAAGAATAATATCAATCTGTCTACTTGCTAACTAATGGATTTTATTTAGCTTAATACTGAAGTTTAACTGAAAATATGTGTGCAAAAACTTGCGAAAGAAAAATCAAGTAGATCGTAGATTCTTTTTATTTCAGTGCAGTAAATTACAGCACACTTTTTTTTTTTTACAGTGATAAGAGTTACTTAAGTAAAATGTACAAACAAAGAGTCAATCAAATTTACTGGGAATTCCCAAGTAAACTTAACAAACATTTCTATTTAAAGCTACTAATAATTATGTTTAGGCTTTTACTTGTCAAATTTTTGTAAATTAATAGCCTTTTCTGATTGAAAATTGTTTCCAAGCATCAAATTAGTAAAAGCTAACTTATTTCAATAAAAAAACAATCGGTTGTAAAATTATAAATATTCCTAAACTCACCTTGAATTAATTTAAATGTTCTGTCAGGAATAAGAACGTACTGTATTTTGTGAGACATCATACACTTTTGAAACTGGAAATTAAGTCTTTTAACTAATCACCTCCACATGGTGTACACACACACACACACATAAACAGATATCTCTTTGGATTTGAGACTTTAGTCTTTGCAACTTTACAGATCTTCTTTATGCACCAAGAGCTTGTAACACTCCAAAGAGAAAGGAAAAATTGAAATCGCATCAGATGACCCCTTTAACTGTCTTTTTTGGTCATATCCGTCTAACAAGCCCAGAACCGAGGAAGTTGAATCAGTTTTATTTAGGAGTTTATGTATTGTTATGTAGTGATTTTTGTTTTAAGTATTGTTTTTATATCTAAATTTTGCAACCAAATTTCCTAATTATTTTATTTTTATATTTTTTCATTTATTTATATTTTTTATTGAGTGAACCAAGGACATGAGTTGGATGGAATGGATGGAATGCTACAAATAAAATGTAATGGAAATATTTTACAAATGACTTCTTTATTAACACATATACGAAACAGGGTGGTTTTATTAAATAGTTTTAATAAATAACATTTACTAACGCAAAAAAAAATGAATGCAAAAATCTACTATATTTTGAATTATTTATAGGTTCTAAATAAATACGTTTTCATGAGCTGTATCGTATTTGCATGACGTAAAAGAAGAACTGAATCGATTTTTTAAACAAGTTCTTTGAAACGAACTGTTCGAGAGAGTTCATTCGCAGAAATGAATCGGAGATCCCAACACCAGGGCTGCGTTCAGCCCCGACAAAAACGGTGCAAAACGTTTTTAAACGGAAACGGTGGTGCGTTGAACACCCTGTTCTGATGAGCAAGAGTTGCAACTATGGCAGCTGAGAAGGCCATTCTTTGTGTTCTTTTTGAAGAATTTTCGGAGCCTGATGGAATCGGTATAAAGGTGCTGCGGGTCTGCAGCTGGATACTATTGGAAACCGTAGCAAAACGGTGCACACCGGTTTGAGCTTGAACTTTTTTTTTTTTTTTGCATTTCAAGCATCATAACATAACAAAATAGGCTAATATAACCACAACTGTAAGTCCTCACAGACTGAGACATTCAATCATACTATAACAGAGAAATAAACCATCATACAAGACATTAATCCAAATAAAATAAAATAAAATATACTCATGCAACCATAAACAATGTAGGGGATTAAACGAAGTCATACTTTTTAAACAAATCAAATAATTTCTTGGCTTTATCACTTCTCATAATTTTCAGGACCTCTGTATACATGGCAAGCTCCTTTTTAAAGACATTCAACTGGGGTGCTGTTTTCAGAATTTTACATTTGTGAATGAAGTATTTTAATATGAGGAGTAAACAATTTACAACAGAGTCTACTCTTTTGTCCTCCAAAAGAATTCCAAATTTCAACATGTCCCAAGTAATAGATGGAAAAATAGATATTCTTTGTTTAATCCAATTACATACTTCAGTCCAAAACGAATTAACCAGATAACAATGGAAAAATAAGTGTTCAACAGTTTCTACATCATTATTACAGAATTGACAAATATTACAATCCACATTAAATCTTAATCTCAGAAATTCCTTAGCAGGATAAATATCGTACAAAATTTTAAAGTGCACTTCTTTATATTTTGGTGGAAGAGGAAATAACAAATATTTGCATCTAAATTCATTAACTGATTTCCTATTTAGATGTTGAAAAATATAGTTCCTTCTTATTGGACCAGGATAGCTTTCCTGCACAAGACAATTTCTTATAAACTTATTAGTACACTTCTCATCTACAAAATTTATTTTGCCTAATTTAAGATCCAAAATCTTGGGAATGATAGTGGAGTATGCTAAAATCCCCTTTAACATATTAAGGAATGGAAAAGGAATACTTTTAGTAACTTTCAAATAAACTTTTTCCTCACACTTAAAATCAAATTTAGTGCAGAAATCATTATAATTAAAAAAGCAGCCATTCTTATCCATAATGTGCAGCACTGACCAAATATCTCTTTGCCACCAGTCCTCCAAAAATAAAGACTTTCTTTGAAATAAAATACAACGATTATTCCATAAGGAAACATTATGAGGACTGAAGTTATGTTTAAACAGCATTTTCCAATACAAGAGGACTTGTTTAGTTTGAGCTTGAACTTGCACCAGTTCTTATACCGAACCAAATCTCGCGAGAACGGACGAGGGGATAAATTAAGGAAACATGGCGATGCCTAATTTGTTAAAGGTAAGATACATTTAAGCTCGTTGCCTCCAAATTCTCCACAAACAGTCACGCCTATAACCTTCAAATGACTATGTTGTACCATTGTGATTTAGCGGCTTGCTGGGATTCTGACGTGCATGTCCAGTGAGTTTATATGATAATCTGTGTTTAGCTAGCAGGCTGTGAGCTAGCTGAGATTAATAAAGCCAATAATCACAATAATTCTGGACTGCATGCAGACGAGTTGAAGTCATGATTCACTCCAATGGGTGTTGACCTTCGGTATTATGTTGTTTATAAAAATATATAATAAAGGGACATGTTCCTGATGACAGTTAGCACGCATGTTGTTAGCTTGGTCAATGGTTAAATGAGTGTAATGACTGAGCTAATGGTATATAATGCGAATGTGTGCCGTTATTGTTAGTTTCATGTTTTAGTAAGCCAAGAAAAGATGCACATGTCATGTCACTAGTGCCAGATATTATAAGTATTTGAAATATGTCAAGATATCATTCAGGGAGTATGAATAAAAGAGTAGAGGCATTCCATTTGTATAGATGAAGTTTGATTTGATGCAGTTAAATACAGACTTAAAACCCAGTGAGCTGCCTACCTAGACAACATTTTGGGCATCGTAGATGTTTTCAAATGCACCAGTAATGCCCACAATGCTGTCTAGTTAGGCAGATCTATAAAAATTAAGTCATAAGCTTTTATGAAAAACCTTTCTGTCTTTTGAGAATGTGCTGTTACTTGCTATCTGTCTGTGGTGGACTTGACTTTCTTGCTAAAACCAATTAACTAGCATTGATTCATCTTGAATACGTATAATTAAATAATATTTTTACACTAAAAAAAATATTCTGTTCACAAGTGATATTTACCTTTTATTTTTACTTTATTTTGTCATCATATCTCATAATTCATTCCAAGCTCTTCAATGTCTCCTTGGTAAACAAGTACAACATTTAAAAAAAAAAAAAGAAACTTTATCAGTGGCAGTATTTAGGAAATTAAACCACAGTTGAGGTGCAGTTGTTATTTGTTAATTAAATCATTTGAATTATTTTAAAATTGTTTTTAAAATTAATTTTTTAGTTGCATTTTCATATTTTATGATTGAAAGTCTAGGTCTGGTTCAAGGATAAAACAAGGAAATCTATACTTTTCAAATGCCTTTTATAATATATGTTGAAAGCTTAGTAAGAAATTAATAAAACCAAAGAAATAACAGAAATAAATAATTAAAAGTAATACAACAATTACAAATAATAATACATTATGTACAAATTCTGTTAAGTTTTAACACATTTAATTTAAAGAAAAAATCAACTCCTAAGACATAAAAGTTTCTTAAAGACATTAGAAATAAAAGAAACAGCCAACCGCTTGCCTTATTGTAAATGCTTTGAGAAGCATTTCCAATAAGGCTTCTGATTTTCTGGCCATGTTTAGACAGAGAGGTCTTCCATTATGTCTGGTTCATTGTGTTATATGTGATAGGGATGCACTGATACCACTTTTTTCAGTACTCGCCCGATACGATACTTTTATTTTTGGTACTTGCCGAAAGTGTGCACTCTCTCTCTCTCTCTCTCTCTCTCCCGTTAAGTAACTTGTGCATTGTTTTACTTACTTGTTTTTGACATATCCGACCGAACTACAAACTTTCCAGTGATGTCTGTGAGAAAGGTATATTCACTCGACAAGCTCGCGCATCTGCGCCGCCGCGCGCTCAATCCACTCAGCGTGCTTTGTTTATCAGCTCGCGCACATCAGCTATACAGGCGTTAATACTGAATGCTTAACATTATATTCATTGCATACATATACTTCATAGTAGACATCCTTAACTCCATTCTGGGCATTTTAAGGAGTAAGAGTACAGGAGACCAGTATCGGGCCCGATACCGATACCAGTATCAGTATCGGTGCATCCCTAATATGTGAATGCACTCACACTCTTCTTCTCTAACTGTCTGTCTCTTCCATGTCCTTTTGCTTAGAACAAGGGTTCCCTCCAGTTTGAGGACAAGTGGGATCTTATGCGTCCCATCGTCCTTAAGTTGCTTCGCCAAGAGTCTGTAACTAAGCAGCAGTGGTTTGATCTTTTCTCGTAAGGCCCTATGAATTCAGATCTTTTTATATCCTGCACATTAACTACAGTCTGAATGTTCAATCTGTTTTACTGTTCTCCTCGGTTCTCACAGAGATGTTCATGCAGTTTGTCTATGGGATGACAAAGGACCAGCAAAGATCCACCAGGCCCTCAAGGAGGACATCTTAGATTTTATTAAACAAGCTCAAGCGGTAAGAGAGGTTCAGGATTAAGCCACCTGTTGATGTTCTTCAGCAGAATCGCGTCTCATTCTTGATCGTTGGTGTTTAGCGAGTGCTCAGTCACCAAGATGACACGGCGCTCCTCAAGGCTTACATCGTGGAGTGGAGGAAGTTCTTCACGCAGTGTGACATTCTGCCCAAGCCGTTCTGCCAGCTGGAGATCACCCTGATGGGCAAACAGGGCAGCAACAAGAAGTCCAATATGGAGGACAGCATTGTTAGGAAGGTGAGCGGGATAAAAGCGGGATTTTTAGGTTGATTTCCTAGAATGGGATTCATCGGGTTGTTCTGCTTTTTATGTTCTCAAAGCTGATGCTGGATACTTGGAACGAATCTATATTCTCCAACATCAAGAATAGATTGCAAGATAGTGCGATGAAATTGGTCCATGCCGAACGGCTGGGAGAAGCGTTTGACTCGCAGTTGGTCATCGGGGTCAGAGAGTCATATGGTGAGATTCACTCCACGTTTTTCATTGGCTCAAGTGAATCTTTCTATTCATGAAAACTGAAAAGTAGGGCTGCACGATACATCGCATGCGATTATTTAACGCGCACGGAGTACAAAACTACATGAAATATGTACGGCCTGCCAGACATCAGATTTTAGACTACATGATCTTCAACCGATCAGATTGCATAGCGGAGAGGAGAGTTATGACTCCTGCTAACACTCTGCATTTGTGTTTGCTGTCATATATTCTCATGTCTCTGTTTACAGGCAGACGCTAAATTAAGAGAAGAGGAGAAACGTGTACTACGATATTTAGAGACAAGACGTGAATGTAACTCTGTACAAGCAGTGAGTATATGATTGAAAATAGGGCATCAATCATTAAAATATTTTAGTGTTTTGTGTGTAAAAATATTAAAAGTAATATTAAAAATTAAGTTATTCAATGTTTATTATTTAATTTAAAATAAAATAATATAACCAGGTATGTGAGTCTGAAATAGTGGATTTGTTTTTTTCCTCAGCTTATGGAATGTTGTGTGAATGCACTGGTAACGTCATTTAAAGAAACTATCTTGGCTGAATGTCCAGGCATGATCAAACGAAATGAGACTGACAGTGAGTATGAGACTACTTTGAAATCTTATTTTAGATAGATATCTAAAATAACCCTTTTAGGTTTTATATACACTACCTTTACAAATTCGGGGGTCTTTAGGATTTTATTTTATTTTTTAAAGAAATCTCTTATGCTCAACTAGGCTGCATTTATTTGATCAAAAATACAGTAAAAACACTAATATTGTGAAGTTATTGCAAATTAAAATAGCTGTTTTGAATTTGAATATATTTTAAACTGTAATTTATTCCTGTGATTGCAAAGCTGAATTTTCAGCATCATCACTCCAGTCTTCAGTATCACATGATCCTTCAGAAATCATTCTAATATGCTGATTTGCTGCTCAAGAGTAATTTGAAAACATGTGCTGCTTAATATTTTCGGGGAAACTATGATGCTTTTTTTTCTGGATTTTTTGATGAATAGAAAGTTCACAAGAGCAGCATTTATTTGAAATAGAAATCTTTTGTAACATTATACATGTCTTTAATGTCTCTTTTGATCAATTTAATGTGTCCTTGCTGAATAAAAGATAAAAGCATTCATTTCTGTCAGCACAAATGCTTAATGACCCCACGCTTTTGAATGGTCCTGTGTTTTTCAGAAAAATAGACTTTGCATACTATGTAGCTGTATAATATCTCTAGATATAAGCTTTTATACCTCGGTGAACTCTTCTTCCACAGAGCTGCACCTCATGTTCTCTCTCATGGATAAAGTGCCCAATGGGATTGAACCCATGTTGAAAGACTTGGAGGAGCACATCATCAGTGCTGGACTGGCAGACATGGTGGCCACTGCAGAGACCATCACAACTGTGAGCACAACATTTGCAGAATTATTATATACTTTGTGAGCTTTATGAATTTTAGAGCATTAGCTGGCTTTTGGTATTCACAGTATAAATAAAGGATAATTGATTAACGTTGATAAGATGAATAATTGATTAATGGTAGGGATGTAACGATTAACCGCGAGCCGGTTGAAAATCGATTTAAATATGTGACGATTCACATCGGTTGAGATGCTAAACAAATCGCGATTCAATTAGGGGCAGGAGTTTATATGAATGTATGTCTGAGGGGAGCTTACTGTCTTTAGAAAAGTTTAGATGGTATTTTTAAAAATAGCTTTTTCTTCTGAAAATTGGAGGGAGTTGTGGTCTGAGTACCCTTGATTTCTGTATCTTCCCTGCCTGGGTTTAAAACTTGACCTTTGTGTTAGGATAGATCCTCAAATATTAGGCAGCTACAGTCAAGTACTGGTGTTGACATTTGTGTTGATGTTTCTCCTCAGGACTCTGAGAAGTACGTGGAGCAGCTCCTGACTCTGTTCAATCGATTTAGTAAATTAGTGAAGGAAGCGTTCCAGGATGATCCTCGGTTCCTTACAGCCAGAGACAAAGCATAGCATTAAGCGTCACCTGCTGGCAGAGAGTGAATCTGCCTCTCATTCAGCTCCTCTGCTGTTTGTGTCATGCAGATATTTTTTATGCATAGTTTCACAAAACTGAAGTCAATGACTCTGTTCAATCGATTTAGTAAATTAGTGAAGGAAGCGTTCCAGGATGATCCTCGGTTCCTTACAGCCAGAGACAAAGTGAGCATGGCGCGCTATACATATTCATTCTCACTGTCTTACAGTTGGCCTCAGTAAGTAGCCTGCATGACTAGATCACACCGCAGATGGTTACCAGAGATCTGTGATGGCACAGGAATACAGTGGAAGGTTATATAACAATAACTCCATTTGAAATGCTGTTGATTTTTCTGGAAAATGAATAGAGTTGTTTATTATTTTGAATGAATGGAGTTTTTGTATCTCACATACCTTTTTAATGATGTTTAACATATAGTTTTACATTTCCCCACAGGCATACAAAGCAGTTGTGAATGATGCCACAATATTTAAGTTGGAGCTGCCAATGAAACAGAAGGGGTGAGTAACGGCTGCCTTCTGGGCTTCTGTTGACAGTCCATTGAAGTGAGATGCACAGAATAACCTTCTTTCTACTTTACTGATAGACACATTTACAGGCAACTCAAAAAGCTGAAGTCGTAGTTGAGTAAACCTCTATAGTGGAGAGGTTTACTTTACAAAAATCTGACTTAACAAAATATGGAGAGATTGATTACATTGGTCAAAAGAGAGAGAGATATCAAATTTGCTGTCACTCCCTCAGCAGTTGTATTAGAAATACTCTTGAAGCAGAATAAACCAGCTTTCTGTAATTTAATACCAAGGAAATATAACACAAATTGAATTATGAATGTACATAAAAAAATTTTAAAAATGGAAAGAATAAGAAAACATTAGATTTACAATATTAATTGTGGAATCACGTTTTCACAGTTTGTGAAAAAGGGCCCATATGTAAGTGAGCAGTTTTATTTTAGTATCATTGAGATAATAATATAGTTTTTATTCATATTTTTAATTGTTTTTTAATTTTTATATTTTGTGTTTTCATCTTAATTTTAGTTAAAGTTTTAGTATTTTTGTGGGGGTTTTTTGTATGTATGTATGATTTTCATTATTCATTTCATTTTTATTTCAGTTCATTTCATTTTAATTTCAGTTTTAGTTATTTTAGAACATCACAATAAACTAAATGAAAATGAGAAAAGTTGCTGTGGCAACTAGCTGAAATAAAATAAGTTAGTTTTTTCATATTTTATTTAAGTTAAAGTTTATTTTATTTCCAGTAACAAAAATTATTTTATGGTCTTAGTATTAAATATAATCATCCTGCTAGTGAGCATTAGCGATCCATATTTCTGTATTGTATCAACTTGTATCAGTTGTGTTTGATGTTTCTAAATGCAGAGTGGGCCTAAAAACACAACCAGAATCAAAGTGTCCGGAGCTGCTGGCTAACTATTGTGACATGCTGCTAAGAAAGACGCCACTCAGCAAAAAGCTGACCTCAGAGGAGATCGAGCTCAAACTGAAGGAAGTGGTGAGGGGCTGTTGTAAAAAGTCACATGTCGTTGGCTCGGTGCTTGTGTTGTTGTCCTCGAGTGTTTTGAAATGTAAATACTACTATTTTTTTTCTATAGCTACTTGTGCTGAAATACGTCCAGAATAAGGATGTGTTCATGAGGTACCACAAAGCCCACCTGACCAGACGTCTGATCCTGGACATCTCAGCAGACAGTGAGATTGAGGAGAACATGGTCGAGTGGCTCAGGGTAAGAATAAAAGAGAAATAAGAGTGACTGAAATTCAATTTGAGTGTTTTATACTCAAATGGCTCACTGTTTGCTTTGTTCTGATGTGTTTCAGGAAGTTGGGATGCCTGCTGACTATGTGAACAAGCTAGCTAGAATGTTCCAGGACATCAAAGTGTCTGAAGATCTTAACCAGGTTTTCAAGGAAGTGCACAAACACAACAAGCTGGCTTTACCAGGTGACTTACAAGCCCAATTGTCTCTCTATATATGCATTTACACTACCTTTCACCTGGGTTTGAAAGACATTAATATTTATATTCAGCAAGGATGCATTAAATATATCAAAAGTGGTCTCTTTCACACCTCTTCTGTTACCCAGCGGACTCTGTGAACATAAAGATCTTGAATGCTGGAGCGTGGTCACGCAGCTCAGAGAAAGTGTTCGTGTCTCTGCCCACCGAGCTGGAAGACCTCATTCCTGAGGTGGAAGACTTCTACAAGAAGAACCACAGCGGCCGCAAACTCCATTGGCACCACCTCATGTCCAATGGCATTGTGGGTTTATTTTATGCACTAAGTTTAGTGCTTAGTAGTGATTTGTAGTAGCTTTAAATGCAACTTGCATCTAATCAGTCTGTGTGCTCTCCGGTAGATCACTTTCAAGAATGAAGTAGGGCAGTACGACCTGGAGGTCACAACCTTTCAGCTGGCTGTACTTTTTGCCTGGAACCAAAGACCACGAGAGAAGATCAGTTTTGAGAACCTGAAACTTGCCACTGAGCTGCCTGATGCTGAACTGAGACGAACTCTCTGGGTAAGATCGTGACTGGATATGTTGCATTTTATTCCATTAGATATTTATTATATTTCTGCTGTACTGTAGGGTTGTCAAAAGTACAGACTTTGAAATTTGAAAAATGTGACAATACCGGCATTTCCCGCTAGCATTTTGATCGCTGTTGAGGGGATTCTTAAACACCTCTGATTGGCCACTGTGTTCACGTGCTTAACAGATATGGCTGTGATTGGCTACGATGATCATCGCGTCACGCTCTTCACCGAGCGCTTACACAGATACACACAGGAGCGTTTGAAAGCCTATGAGCAGGGATAATCTATTAGGGATCCGCTGATGAAAAGCGTGAAGCGCTGATCATTGTAGCCAACGGCCAATTGAACACAATGGCCAATCAGAGGTGTTTAAGATTCCGCTCAACAGCGCTTAAAATGCTAGCTGGAAATGCTGGTATTGTCACATTTTTAAAATTCACTTTTGACAACCTTACTATACTGGCAAAGGTTTTTTTTTTTTTTTTTAACAGAAACTGGTAGTATTGACATTAAATTCACTATGATTAATTCAGGACTGATATAAAAATTCTGGCAGATACCTATAAGATGATAATTATTTCATGTTGTGATCGATAACTTATAAATGAGCAATCTAAAAATCGTATTCTGTTTTGTGTAAATAAATTCAATATAAAACACTAAGAACCACAATTAATCATAATGCAACAAGTGAATTTAGATATCACAACATTATAATGTACAGTATGACAAATGGATATTCTTTTTTTAAATTTGATTACATACTGGCAAAGGTTTTTTTTTTTTTTTTAACAGAAACTGGTAGTATTGACATTAAATTCACTATGATTAATTCAGGACTGATATAAAAATTCTGGCAGATACCTATAAGATGATAATTATTTCATGTTGTGATCGATAACTTATAAATGAGCAATCTAAAAATCGTATTCTGTTTTGTGTAAATAAATTCAATATAAAACACTAAGAACCACAATTAATCATAATGCAACAAGTGAATTTAGATATCACAACATTATAATGTACAGTATGACAAATGGATATTCTTTTTTTAAATTTGATTACATTTAACAGTGTTATTAAATTCATAGTGTTTTTAAAGTTTAATTAAAAATATCCAACATTGACTGATTCTGATCAATTAAAATATCTTTGTTTATGGATGCTGTACCATCATTTTCTACGTAACATCTTCCCTCTCTTTTTGTACAGTCTCTCGTTGCCTTCCCAAAGCTCAAACGCCAAGTGCTGTTATATGAACCTCAAGTGAGCTCTCCCAAAGACTTCACAGACAGTACATTGTTTTTCGTTAACCAGGAATTCTCCTTGATGTAAGAGCATGTCCTCTCCTGCTTGCTCTTTCATTTGCTTATAAATGGTCTTTTTATTTGGAAATAATAATATTTTTGTTTCTCCTCAGAAAAAACACCAAGGTTCAAAAGAGGGGGAAAATAAACCTAATTGGCCGATTGCAGCTGACGACGGAGCGAATGAGAGAAGAGGAGAACGAAGGCATCGTCCAGCTTAGAATATTAAGAACACAGGGATGAAACATCAAAAAACATTACTAGTCCTCTTTTTTCATGAACACTAGTCACTAGTATACTTCCCAAAAGTTTACCCTAAAGTATACTTCAGTTTTGACGCGAATGCTTAGCGTATGCGTGTAGCCTTTCAAAATTTACTCCATTTGATCGTAGGCTATGTGTGCGAACAGAGGACCTTGGCACGCTAGAAAGTTTCCTTGTTCCGCGTCTGCACTAATTCTCAACAGAAGTTATGCCGATAAAAATGTCTTTGTATTATTGTTCCGTCTCCTTCGTTTCTTTTTCAACTATGAACAACGGTCCGGGTCAGTGTTGCCACCTTGTGGACAAACTAATTCGTGCACTGTTCGCATAAAAACCAAAGTAAAAATTTTTTTTTATTTTGATGGTAAAAGACTGTTAAATAGTTTACAATTAATTCCCTTACTTTATATTGTGAAAAACTGTAATACATTTTTGTTCGTTTGTTTCTTCTACTGCAACATTTCAGGAGGCCATCATTCAGATCATGAAGATGCGCAAGAAAATCACAAACGCTCAGCTGCAGACTGAGCTGGTGGAGATCCTGAAGAACATGTTCCTCCCTCAGAAGAAAATGATCAAGGAACAGATCGAGTGGCTCATTGAGCACAAGTACATCAAGAGAGACGAAACGGACATTAACACTTTCACCTACATGGCGTAACGCAGAAACGACTCCGGAGATGATCTGTGACCGTTCTCGAGGACGGCGTACCTGTTGAGGATCAGGATGGTGATGTCTCGAAGATACTGCTTAGGCTGCTGGTCTGGCGGCGTAGTCATGAGCTTGTTTTAACAACAGACAGTCACACATCAGATCAAAAAAATGTATTTAAAAAAATAATAAATCCCTGCCTTACCTTACAGTGAAGACACATGGGATGAGGATAGGAGGTTAAAAAAAATAGGAAAAATGACAAAAGGATTCTATTTTTGCCATTGGTAGTCAGTATGCATGGTGGGCGGTTTGCCTTTTGTATGTGTACATCTCCAGCAGCATGCGGTCAGTGGGAATGTCACATTCATCCCAGGACTTGTTTGTGTGTGCCGTGCTACGAGTGTTTTTTCCCACTCCCACATCCTCCGTCTGGACCTCGCCGTGTCCCATCTTCAGTGCGCAACCCGGGGTGAGAGCCGTCCCACCATCGCAACCACAAACACCTGGCCTTGCATGACGACACTGGAGTCACTGAGGAGCGCGGGCCGGGATGGAGGACTAGCATTAGCACTTTTCACACTCTCCGCCACAACATGTCAGCATGGCTTTATTTGGGTTGTTTTTCACATCTTCGGGTTTTGTTTTGATTTATTTTCTTCGCCAAATTGTCGCGAATGAAAGATTTGATTGGCTAATAGCAGTTAAGACGACATTGTTACTCTTTAAAATGCCAGGAAAAGTCAACTTGGCATTCAGATGTCACAAAGGGTCAAGGTCTGCGAAGAAAATCTGTTGGTTTGCGATGTTTTTTTTTTTTTTCAGTGTACATGCGTTATCGTTGTGCACCTGGTCAGAAGGTCAGGTTGCAGTTTCTTTTTTGTTTACTACGCTTTTAGATCAGAATTTTCCGTTATCGGTCTCAAATAGAGACTGAGATGCCGACTAAAATGCCAACTGATTTGTAAAATGAGCTTGTGATGAGGTGGCCCCTTTAAGGTCCTGTAACATATAGCCTATTCATCAAACCTGATGAATTTTAGCCACAATTCCGATTTATTATCATCGCCCCATCACGGCTGAGCGTAAACGAGCAGTAAAGCACAGTTACAGGAGTCCGAATAAAGCAAGCACTGCTTCAACCTCAGGTAAAGTAGGGCAGAGTTATTTTAAAAGTAGGTTGTGCTAACTTTCATTTGCCTCGCGGTTCTTGCTAATCACATATTGCCAAAGCAAAGCACAAGAGTGCTGATCTCAAAATCAAATAACGTTGGATCTATTACAGTCATTGTTTCCCCTCTATTTCTGAGGTCACCCTTGTTGGCACATTTAGTAGAAAACAGGAAGTCTGGTCTTTTTTTTTACTCATTATTACCCTATTATGACCGAGTATCTATGAACAAAAGCTTGTGCAATTACTGATCAGCTGTTTATTATAATCAAATGAACTGTCTCCTGATCAGCCTGCCAGTGTGTCCTCAATAAAAAATAACAACAGAAATATAATTTTTACTGGCTGATGACGTCTAGACTTGATTGTACATTCATATCCAACCTCAAAACACTCAGTCTAATGAGGAGAACATGACGACGTCCCAATGAAATGTTCACTGATATTTCTATAACATTGCTGCAGTTCAGCTGTCCATCTCCACTATGGCATTTTCTGTCAATTATGTTTTTGTCTGTTTTTAATGCAGCGCAGTCACTCATTTGTATCCTCAGTGTTTGATTTCACATGGTAATTCGAAATAGTAAAAAGGTTCCCTTCGATTGTATTGAAAAGCCGTTCTTTATAAGATCCAGATGTACAGCAGTGTTTGAGAACATTGTGTTATTTGATTGTCCACCTTATTTATTGATAACTTAAGTATGATTGAGAGGACGTTTGTGTGTGTGTTCGGAGACTTTTACAACAGGGTGCTGTCATATCCTGTTACGTTTATGCATTTTCATTTTTGGAATTTAAAATCAATGTTTCTACTGAGTGTATGTTTTCCTCTAGCAATTTCTCTAGGTAAATACATATAATTTTATTAGAACAAGCACTATGATTTTCATATTTATCAATCACAGTTGGAGTTTTTTGTGTGCTTGTGTTATTCTTAAGCCAATTGGTGTTTTCTTTGATTGGCATCAAATGAATTCATTGTTCTAAAAAATCACAGTTCATTGTAGTGGAAGATGATGAAACTGAATAAAAATGGTGTGAATGACCTTGCGAGGGAATGCTACATGAAATTATGAATTATACTTTGTTTGCAAATGTATACATTTTCTCTGTTGCACATGGTATGTTCCAGTAATAAAGTCAGTGTGCACATCATTCAGTGGTATAATGCAATAAGTGAGCGTGAAACAAGATTTTTTGAAATTTGTTGATGGAATTTTCTCTAATAAAGTTGCGTAGACATATAAACACTCATTATTAAGTTGATTATATTATACTGAAATGGTCCCATGTGTGAGATTTTCATCTTTCATCTTTCTAATACTGTATTGATAATGTGCACTTACTGTCCTTTTTGACTACTTTATTACATACCAAGAGGAGAGGCGTTTGGGTCTTATTTATCGCTCTGCTGTTTTGTAGAGTGTCTTCCATCATTGTCACAGTCTAAGAGTTTTGTTCATTACAAATGATCCAAACAGACTAAAATGTAAAGGTTTGTGTTTTTATTTTTAAAACATCATCTCTTAATCAGGTCACTTTATACTTATACATACATATACAGATATGTTCTGGTGATGGTTAATATTCATAGTGAACTGGACAGTTAGCAGTATTAGTATGTATTACTCATGAAGACAGTTCTGCAGTTACTCCCCACATACACTTTCTGATAAACGGTTCAGTAGAAATCTGAACACACTAGTTCCCTGTAGTGTGACACACTGCTGTTACAACAAGTCAAATGTAAGTGTAGTTCTGAGACGGTGCATATGCTCTGCCTACGAATGTGTTTTCAAGATTTCTTGCCTGGAGCTTTAAAAGCTTCAAGAATATTTGAGAATTAATGATAAGTATGAGGTGAATTTGTGCCATTGTACAGTGAAGATCTGGAAAGGATGCTGTTCTTGCAGTGTGAGTGTGAACCATTTTCATGCAATGGATTTTTTTCTCTTTTTTTTTTTGTAATGTTGCATAATTTATTTACTGGCGAAATAAACTATTTGAATGAGGCTAATATGAGTTTGTTTGTTTTTTAAATCTCCTGTTTCCACAACACCCTAAACAAATAATAGGCAATGTGCCTATGCCTGCAATGTGCCTTAACCCTGTGCAATAAAATGATATATCTTATATATCTTTAACTGAATATCAGAGCTATTATAATATAAAGCATGTTTAAATGTAAGAATGAGTTTAATTAGGTCATGATCAAATTAAGAAATATTTTTTGTATTAAAAACTGACCAAATGAAATATAGTATGTTTAGAAACAACAGCAAATTGACTGTAAATGAGTTGATAGTTTTAAATTAAACTAAATTATCTTTTATCATATAATTGTATCATTTAGTCGGCATATTTATTGTTTGACTAGAAAATATATTACACAAGAAAAAGTATAATATGTGTAAAACATCTGCATAAAACATATGCTAAAAGGCTATAATTGTATTTTTTATTACATCTAGAAATAGCAATATACAATGAAAAAGATTTGTTTTGGTTTTAATTCACAGCAAAGAATGATTAACAAAAACAAGGGAAGTATGTAAATCTACGCCCTACTTCTGGACCAATAGAAAGTAATATATTTGCATGTGCTGCAACTCTGGTTTTAATGTAGAATTTCTGCAAATTTCGTATTTCCTTAAACTTCATACTACGGGAGGCAACAATATATCATAAAGTAATCATGATATGCTGTTAAATACAGGGTCACAAATTACACTCACCATAGCTGTAACTCATAGCGCAGGAGAGACCTATATATTGACGCAGTCTCATCTCTAATAAACGCCCGGATGAACCTCGGTGGTCCGGGGTGCAGGCTTCAAACCTGTAGCTGCTTAGCGGCAGAGTGGTTCAATTCCACCTTTCGGGCGTGCCAAAATTGTGCTAGAAAAAGGAATCATGTTACACAAGTGGGTTTTTGGTAAAATTATGTAAAATGCTCAAATGTTTTAGACCCCTGCTGTTAACCCTCCGGAAGCTCAGCCGTGGCACCAACCAACCAATGAAGTAAACACTCCAGTGAACCAATCGCAGTGCTCACACCAGTGTGTCATAGGAAATGCCGTGAGGTGCCGTTGGTTATCTTTACAGCATGTGCTGGACTGAGAGGCTAGCAGGCTAACACTGATAATGTAAAAGTAAATTAATAATTCTCCGTTCGCGTCATTGCCCGGTAAGAATGCTGAACTGTACACATGCCTTTTCCTTTTCGTTATTAGTTTTGCATCTTTAGATTTTTACATTATAAAGCGTATATTTGCATCTTTGGCTGTAGCTTATCATATATGGGCCATTCTACAGAATTGGTGCGAACTGCTGTCCCACAACCAAAAAACACATGTAAAAAGCATTTAAGTATTCAAATCTTAGATGTCTACTAAGATCCTTCTATTATCTATTGAAACCCACAATAATATTTAAAATATCACTAAGCTTAATATATAGCTTATAAAATAATGTATTGGGTAATTTCATTTGGGAGGTGGCTGCCCCGTACCCTAACCCCTTCATTTCAACTTATGAAAATTAAATTGAAATAATTTTAGTCTTTTTTTCCATTGTTGTTTTTTTTAAATATCTTTTTGATTCTTTTAAAAAGTGAAGTTCAAAACAAATATTTATTTTATTTTTTCTTTGTAAATTATGAAACTTTATGTAAAAAAAAATGTGTCCCGCATTTTCCATGTCACTAACGAAACAGTGCATGTTTTAGTCCATTTGCTGAGACTGAAATGAACTACACCCCTTACATTTATGATCAGGACATATTTATGTGTCACTCTCTCTCAGCTACAGGGTGAGTAGTTAGGCCCCATCATTTTGAGGTAAATGTGTTCAGAAGTCTGACAAATCTGTGTGTAACTCTAAGGAACGTCATTACCGAACACCTTTTTTCTGCAATTAGGCACACTTTTTTGGGAGTTATTCCATATCATTTAATTTTTATGTGTGTACAACTGTTCAAAACTGTGCTAGCTAACCATGTGCTGATTAGCATCTTTGAGAAGTTCAAAATTATCTAAAATGGTCACAACCAAAACAAACATTTGG